TAATTATTGTTATGTCTTTATATAAGATGCAGCAAAACAAAGAATTTATTTGGTGTTTGTGCATATTTTGGAGGAAAAAAGTTAAATTATATCTATATTATTATACTATCATCTAAGTACCAAATTTTGATTTTTCGTTTTCTTTGGTATATGCTATCTTGTTGACTTTTCTGCCATTGTAGGCTTGTTATTCATTATCTCAGAAATGCATTTATTTTCATACCACCGTATATAATTTACAATTAACCAATATAAAGTTTAATTTATACAAATGTAGTATTAATAATTAGTTTCCGTGTGTAAGGTGTCAATATTTATTAATTTATTTATTTGTTTAGCAAGTAGCAAGTAAATTAGGCCATCAACCTTCCTACCCTGAAATATCCGTTTGTTTGGGTCAGTGTGCATTAAATAGGTTTTCCATTTTATCTAAACTAACCCATTATTACTACTTTAATTAATCTGTTTTGTGAGAAAACTGCAAACACAACTGTCAAACCATGTGGTATTTATTTATCCCTAGCATGTTGCGTTTGGTTCTGTATGTAATTTTGATTTTTTTTTTTCTTACATAAATTAGAAAAATACTGTATCAGTTGTTACTGGAAGTGTAAATCCGAATTCGCCTTTAATTTTTTAAATATGCGTAGAAATCTAATTATAGGTACTCATTTGTCAAGCCAACGATATAAACACTCGAGTAGTATCCAGGAAAATGTAACAATTTTCTTTTTTTTTTAACAAGTAACGGACAAAATGAAATAACTTTAATTTTGCTAAGTGAGAAATATAAGAAAATTGTATGGTGGAGCACAGTTTTTAAAACGGATTGGTAATCGACCCGGGCTGGACTTTTGGTCACCATGAACGAGTAATAAAACTAAATTGTTTATATATAAATTTTATACTCTAAAGTCTTAATAGTATTTTATCATAAATATTTATCACATAAATATATATGTATATGATTTTATTTATAAAAGTAAAAAAAAAAACGAAAAAATATTAAGAAATATATATGGGCATGCTTGTTTAAAAATTCTTTTGGTTTTGATCGGTTTAGTTTTGAAAAAGTTGATTGAGTTAAGTTTGAATGAAATTTTGAGTTTATATTAAAATAATATTTAAAATAAAATTATTAGAGTTTATTTGATGTAAAAGTATGTCGACCGGATTTTAATCGAGTTTGACCAAGTCCCTTGTTACCCGGTCCAAACAACTCACCTGAACCGGTTTCGGTCCCAGTCATGGGTCGACTTGTTGGGCCGGGCCGGGCCTCAAAAATACTGGTGGAGATTGGAGTGTAAAACCATTCTAGGACGAAGTTATTCATCCACTAACCCCACTATACTTGTTGTTTCATTCATTTAATTGCTCAATTTTTAAGTAACATCATTATTTTTGGGACGCCTTAATCCAAAAACAATTTTATTTTTTTTAAATGAGATAGCTTAACAACTTGTAGATCGATCCACCATATATTATTAACAAAAATATATAATCGTAAAATTTCGTATTTTTATTTATGTTGTGTTGTAAAGTATGTCATTTATATATAAAAACATTCATATTTGTTAAAAAAAAAAAAACAATATAATTGTCTAACAATTAGCTTGTTTTACCTCCAACAACAATCTTAATGTGAATGAAACCATGAACAATCTTTCCCAAATGGGGTAAATTTTACTCTACACACAATCTACATGTTTGAATTCGTTCGAGTTCCTTTTTTTTAAAGGAAGATCAATAGTGTTCTCACTTCCCCTTCTCGGTGACTTAAACCATGACATACCGGTAATATATGAAGAATCTTGCCACCAAGCTGCGTTTCATTGTCAATTCTTTCTGAGTTAAAAAATCTCTTTTTGGTTGAGTATTTCATCAAATGAACGGTACTATGATCATCATGTTTCATTAGACCTAACCACAATCTATAAAATGCAAAAAAAAAAACAAACAGGAGTGCGGGTCAACGGTTACCCGTGCACAAACTCCGCAAATCCAGACGACTTCTTCTCGAGCATCCTCGCGAATCCTGGCGCCACCAACAACACGATGGGCTCTCGAGTCACAGGGGCCAACGTCCAAGTGATCCCGGGCCTCAACACACTAGGCGTCTCCCTCTCTCGGATCGACTACGCCCCTGGAGGCCTCAACCCACCTCACACCCACCCGCGCGCCACCGAGCTCGTCTTCGTCCTTTATGGGGAGCTCGATGTGGGCTTCATCACGACGGCCAACGTGCTAGTGGCGAAGACAATCAAGAAAGGGGACGTGTTTGCGTTTCCAAAGGGGCTCGTCCACTACCAGAAGAACAACCGTGAGGAAGCAGCTGCAGTCATCTCCGCATTCAATAGCCAGTTACCGGGCACACAGTCGATTGCGGCCACACTGTTTGCCGCCAGTCCGGAAGTGCCCGACCATGTACTTACGCAGGCTTTTCAGGTCGGGACAAAGGAGGTTCAGAAGATCAAGGACAGGCTCAAGCCAAAGAAATAGAGAAATTCACTTTTAACGTTCTTTTTTTTTTTTTTTAATTGATGGG